TAACCACAAATAAGATCAAAGGATTATCACTTGCGTCGTTTTCCGTTGTATTTTGCTAATGTAAATATTTGTTTTTAACAAATACAACTCTATCTACGTAGAGACAATTGAAATTTTCGCTTATGTTGTGCTAAATAATAATAAATATAACATTGATTCAATTATAACTAATATTTATTATTTATTTCAGACAAAACACCAAGTTATAATTACAATAAAATGTGAATAAAATAGAATATAATCAAAAATAAAATGAAATTAAACCATAAAAATTTTAATTGAATTCATAAATTGTAAAAATGAAAAAATATATACAAATTTAATATAAAACGAAGTATTACGTCTATATTTTTTATAAATTATTCATATGTTCACAAGTTAACATTGTCTAAGACTTTGTTTATTTTTCAAAGACAACTTAAAATATTTAGGTATTTTATATTTTAAGTAATTTTATATGAACAGAAACATAAAGTTAGCTCTGTTTAAAAATTTAATAAAGATTAAAAGGTAAAAAAATGATTTATTAAGAATAAAGGTGTGAACAATAATTACATGAGAGAAGACTTAAAACAATATTTAGACTGAGAAATTATAGAAAAAAATTATGCAGGTGATATTCAGTGGGCAGTTGGACCTCCTAAAGTAGTAAGGCTCTGCAAGGTTGCTAAGCATGCTAAACATCATAGTATCCGAGAAAGTACTAACATCTATAATACTATCATCAACTAAAAGCTCACCAGTACATTGTATTATTGAAGTTCCCCTCAATGATGTATATGATGTTGAAATGGCATGGATCTAAGATATAAACAAAATCGATGAACTATAAAATATCATCATCGATGTTGTATAACAGTACTTGTAAAAGCTCTAGTAAAAAGTTTAGTAAGCTTCGAGATAGCGGTGTCGGGTTAAACACGATAAATGAACACTCGTGATAAATCCAAACTTTTGACTCTTTTTATGTTAGACGGGGTCACGTCTGAGTCGAATAACAGTATTTCGTCCAGGAGGAAATGGAATCAACCGTGTTGCCGACGTCAGAATAGCAAATGGATTTATTAGAAGACCTCTCTGTAAAATCTGCCCTCTGCCGGCGATGGAAGACATCACATTTAGTTGAAAAACGTGTTTTCAACATTTAGTTAGTTAGCTTCTGGTTTGTAGTCGAATCCTAGCCGGAGATTCTTAGCACCCCCCATGGATGCAGGTGGCTCAGGATCGTACTTCGTGGCAGTCTATGGGGGAGGCCTATGTTCAGCAGTGGACTCAAACAGGCTGAAATGATGATGATGATAGCTTCTGGTCATTACACGGTGATTATATCTGAGTACAAGAAGTTTTTATTTTATCCTGAAAACAAAGTCATTCAACTATAATAAAATTTAAACTTTTCCCATGATATCTCAGTGACCAGACACTCGCTTTTAACTAATTATACACAAGTAACCTGAGTTCCGTTGTGCAATGTATTTGCTAATTTTAAATGTTGACTTATCACGTTTTATATTGACGTGCTCAGTGTTGAAGGTAAACATCGTGAGGAAACCTGCACATTTTCGAAATAATAATAAAAAAATCGAAGATTATGTGAAGTCTGCCAATCCGCAGAGGATTCACGTGGTGGACTATTCACTAACACCTTCTGTACAGGGGAAGCCTAAACTTATCCCCGATACTTATGAACAAATTTATGAACAATATTTAAGTACGAGTTTTATCTTCCCGCCCTACCACTTCTCGATCGATACGCTATCGCTGCAATGTTGCCTGCAGTGAAGTATTCCCCGAGCTGCGCCGATTTTTCAGTCCAATTGGGTAATTTGGGAGGAGAGCGTTTGTGAGCGGAGAACTCGGGGAATTTAGACATTTACACTAGAAATAACTATTTTTTTAAGGTACGAAGTGGCAAGAGAGCTGGTGGTTCACCTGGTGTTAAGGGATAACCGCCACCCATGGACATTTGCAACAACAGTGAGGTTGCAGATGCGTTGCCACCTTTTGATACTAACCAACGTCACGCCTGTCCTCTGTAAGATCGTGGTACTTCCCAGGACGGACCTGCCCATACGTACAACAGTAAAAGCTGTTTCCTGGCCCATAGCTGTGGTATTTATAATGTATATATGTTTAATTCAAATTTAACTCAACTTTGGATTATGTTAAGAGTTTAATTTATATATAAATTTATTTTAAATGTTTATATAGAAACTATATTACTATATTACGTAATATTTACATATACTCATTGTAAAAAAAGTGATAAATTTATCATAAGTGCGATTAAGTGTCAGGAAGTGCAAATCGATATTTTTTTCGACATATGTATCACATTATTTTTAAAAAAAAGTTATTATTACCATTTGATAGAGCTCGTAGAACACTTTAGTAACAGTAATCAGTTTCACGATATCTTGTATTGTTTAGGGTAATCGAGTGAGTACACTTGAAGTTTCCACCCTGTATATTGATTTGCTTTGGTATAGAAAAAACAAACATAAGAAAATTAAAATACAAAACCTACTTTATAACTTTCCTAAAGACAAAAGAATCAGTCAAAAGAAAATTTAGCATTCTTAAGAATTTGGAAATAGATAATCGTAATTGTCTACAACCGACATTGTAGAGCAGTTTTTTCCATTAAGGAAATTATTAAGAAAAAAGCAGGGAATTTAAAGATCCTTTCAAATAGATGTTAACAAAAAAATTGGCGTAATGATATTCTACAAAAAGTAGGTTTATATAATTAAACATACCTTTTTTACTTATATAGAAATATGATTGAATTTAATGGACAAAATGTGTTTGACTAATGGGTTGGCAAAAATTATCATGAAAATAATGGCAGCGCCGATTTTTTTGCACATTCTCATGCTATCCTGCTTGCACCTAACGCGGTAACACTGCGAGGCGACACGCCTCTCCTCCCCCACTCACTATCGACTGACCGGCGCAGACGCCGGACGCCACTGATAGCGCCCGTCATTAACAGAGCGCGCGCATAACACATGTAATCGGCAATAACATTCAGAACATTATCTATTGTTGTGTGAATTTAACAAACTCTATTCTAGTATATAAAGGTATTTATAGCATTTTACACAAATTATTATATGTTAACATGATTACTAACCGGCATAACCAATAAAGTGAAGCGTCATGCAGTGTGTTTGTTGCTGTTGTATTTTATATTCTCAACACGTGCGCTCGAAGAGGTTCGGATTGAATGATTCACCCGCTGAGTTCTGACGCAAGTGATGCAACTTTTGTGAATTAGTATTATTAATCGATACTAGTCAACGTGGTTTTGATGCCCTGGATGCTACTAATACACATGAATTTCTACAATTTGAAGCAGTTATCTTTTGTTCAGCTGTATCAACGTTAATTGATTGATCATCAAATGATGTTTGTATGATTAACATATTGTGTCTGTGTCTAGATTTTTAATAATGTACTTTATTATGTATTTATAGGTTCCGTAGTCAACAAGAAATCCTTATTGTTTAGCTATGGGTTTCCGTTCGTCTGTTAGCTCAGAGACACTTTTTACTATAAAACTATCATTTGGCATAATTATAGACATTAGTCAGGCTGACAAAGTGGTAAAATAACAAAGGGACTAAATTTTTTTAAAGATACGTCCCCTATATGTGATAGACTGGGGATATAATTTTTTTTCCTCTATCCCAAGTCTTTACAAAGATAATGCGTGTAAAGAAAAGAAAGCTATTTTTTCAATTCTGGGATTCGTTAGCCAAATAATAAAGTAATCTTTAAAGTACTAATTTTTGGTAGAGTCAAGTGTCTCCTCACTCCTGAATATGTGTAAAAATTACAGGAGTAGTGTATAATTATGATGAATTTAAAACGAAATCTATCACAGTATAAGTAGGCTTTACAATTTAACGAGTAATAGTCCACCAGCTTATTGATTTATTTGAAGAAGTGAAATATTTCGTCAAAATTACGCAGAAAATGACAATTATCACTCATAGTATGACGGGCAACTATGGAACTTGTATCTCTATATCAACTAACAAATTGTGTATTAGAATATTTAGTGGATTCTGGCCAAAAATATCGGTGTCTGCAAAAAAGGTGGTTTTCGTATTTAATGAAACATTTCGCGCTTTATTTACATTATTTTTCATCTTAGATTTTTTCCTTTACATGGCATTGATGGCCGGGTTCAGCTTGTTATATATAAGATTTAAATAACAATACATATTAAATAAATATTAAATACAATATAGGCATGTTCAATGTTTATGCTGTGTAAACTCTACATAGAGACACTTACGAGACTGTTCATTTTTTAGCATTATTGTTAAAAAGAGAAAAAAATATATCGATATTATTTGCCTATCTAACCATAACTCTCTAACCATACAATTTACACTTTGATGTTTGTGAACAACATATAACATATACGTGCAAGGTAATCACACCAAACAAAAGAACGATTTTCTTAGAATTTGACACTGGTGAGCAAAGGCCTCCTGTAAATAGAGGGTATAAGAAAATTTTGGAAAATTCATTTTCAAATTTTCAGCTTTTCCAGATTTTATATAGGGTCATCCTATGCTAAGTGGTGCTCCCTTCAGTACAGAAATTTTGCTCACTTTACTTTTTATCTCTACATGTTTTTAACTTATAAAATACCTAAGTGTGCTGCTTTTTATGATTTCGCTTCATTTGAAACGTTTTAAGATATTAAAATTTTTAAGCTTAAATTATTTTCTAGTATTAATAAAGTGAAACGTAATGAGAGGAAAATCACAAAAATTCACTTGTAAATTTTTGCTGATTTGGTCATATTAAAAATTTATGAGTTAAAATAAAAAACAATTCAAACATTAAAATTTTGCTATTTAGAAAAATTATCATAAGTTATTCTAACTTGAGCATACAGAGGTGGAAACAATAATATGAACTCATAAGTATATCTGTTTTATACTTTTTTTTTGCGTTCCAGTACTTGACTTGGCATTACTATGGCTGAAGAAGCGTCTACAAGTAAAACCAAGAAACGTATACTATCTGTACTCCAAACTACATCTGAAGGCCAGGCACCACTGAAAAAATCTAGACTAGTCCCTACCGGACCCAAGTACGAGGGTGAAGAGCTTAAACTGTCTTTCCACGGCATCCTCTATCAGCTTCACCTGCTGACGTTATTCCTGAAGCGAGGCGTGGATCGAGGATACACCTTTATTCTTGGCAGTGAGGTCACCGCTGCGGAAAAATTTGATGACGTCGTATTTAGATACGAAGAGGATGGAACATACAACTTGCGATTCTTTCAAGCTAAACACAAACGCGATGAAAATGAGAAGATAACACGACAAGATCTCGTCAAAACCGTACCACTTACAGGAAAAAGTAAAAATCTTGATTTCAGCATACAAAAATATTTTTTAAACTATAAAAAATTCAAACTTAGGAGGGAAAAAGAAATGTATTTAAAAGGAAACATTCAAAATTTTACAATTTGTACCAATATTGACATCGACCAAAGTTTGGAGGAAAATTTCGAGGAGATAGACGTAAGTAATGATCCACTGCTTTCTTTTGACGCAGATAAACAAGGAAGGTCACTTAAACTTAAATACAATTCTCCGCTTTATAATGAGCTCGTTGGTATTTTATCAAGAGAATATGAATTATTAGCTAAAAATTTGGGTACTTTAATTGCTGACAATTCCAATCTTAAATATAACAAAAATATACTTGATCATAAACATTGGATATTAAAAAATATTTTCGACCCAAGAAGCTTAGTGCATACTGGCAAAAAACACAAGAAATACTATTTGAATTTAAGAAAAGAATTTGTTTTAAATAATAATGAGAATAAGTTCTCGAAAAAATTCTTTGAAGTCTTTATTAAACGAGGAAAAGATACCAAATACTTATTAAATGAGAAAATTCAGATTTTTCCAAATTTTGTTGAGGCACTACGAAGTGATAAAACTACTGAGTCTGAAAAAGAACTCAATGAATCTCAATTGAGCGAAGATATTTACTTTTTTTTGCATAAACTTGTTTTCGCTTTGAGACAGCCCTCAGAGAATGAGCTGAAAGATATAATTGAGACTGAAATGGCTACTTTGATTAAACTGCCTGACGGAGAACTGGCAGCGAGTATCGTACGGACGCGCCTACAGGACTGGTTTAAAGAAAAAGAAGGGCAGTTCTTGACAAACACAGATTGCCGAAATCTTTTTGAAGATCTGGAAAATATTGTTGCTTTCTTATGTCAAATAGGAATCACTTTAAAAACTGAAAAGACTATCTTAAAGAACAGTCATAAAAACTGTTCTTTTAAAAATGACTTCTGTGCTGTGAAAACAATAAATGATTTCATATACAATGAAGACTATAATAAAAGAGTATTACTCGTTTATTATGATGTACGCTTACTTACAGAGATCAAAGTATTGCAGTTGAGAGAGAATTATCAATCAAACAATTTTATGTGGGCAGACATAAAAGATTACATAGAAGTTTTAAATTCTGTAGCATGCCCAGTAAAAGCATTTAAATCAAACGCCTGTAAGAAAATGTTTGTAATGCAAAACGAGATTACCACCGAAACGAAGAAGCTTCTCAAAAGTATATTTGAAATTATGAAGAGAGAAAAAGACAAGAAATTAATGGTAATATTGCCAGTTGATAAACGTGAAGAATTTATCCAAAAAACTCGTGATGTACTGAACGGAAAATATGATGAACTAGAAGATTTAGAAAACAGTTTCGATGATTTTTGTGTGGAGACGCAAAATTCTCTTCGTAGAAATGCAAAATTAGTATTTAATGGATATACTTTAGGTATTGAAAAATTACTCAGCTACAATACCATGTTGCAGAATCTGACAGGAGATGTATTATCAGGACTGGTTTCTGGAAAGTACGAATTTGCCATCGATAACTCAAACGACCATTATGAAAAAACAAAAAAATATTACATAAAACGCAGACTTCTAAGTCTGAGCAAACCAGATGCAAAGGGATTCGTCGTGGAACGTTTAAATAATTTAAATGACCCATTGATTGTTATAACAGGTGAGCCTGGATCAGGAAAGTCTTCTTTACTTTCTCATGTGGCAACGAAAACGAAAGAAATACAACTAAAAAATCCACTAGCTGAGAAAAATAAGTGTATAATAAATGTTACCTTACAAAATTACGTCACACAACTGTTTCATCAAGAGAAAGATTCAGGTGAAATCACTAGCATAAAAGCTGTGAGATTTTTATATATTATTTCTGGTTTGCAAGTGTTTGATGAATCAAAAGAGTGTAAAATTGTATTTGAATTTGACACTAACGGTGGCCTTGCTGCAAGTATGCATTCTGGTCAGACCCCATTGCACTTAAGATTGTTTCAGTATTTATATAATAATAAAAAAATAATACTTTTTTTCGATGGATTCGATGAAATTGCACCACATTACGCAGAACGTGTTTGTGATTATCTTATCAAATTTAAAGATATGCGAATACAAAAGATGTGGGTGACAACACGTCCTTACGACATACAAAACAACTTAAAAAGTAAAAAATGTGGTACCAAACGAAGTAGTAAAAAATATAATAATTTTCTGAATGCTACACCGTACATGTTAATGCCTCTGTCTAAACTAGAACAGGAAAAATTACTGAAAATTATTTGTGAACAAAAAAAGAACTTAAAGAAGAACAAGCCTATTGACTTCAACGACTTACAACAGTTCTGTAAAGGCATGCCGTTAATTGATCGTAATCGTAAAGTAACAAAAACAGAAACACATGATTTTTTAAGTACTCCTCAACAGTTAATAATGTTAGCTAAAATATATAATAAAGAGGGTATTAACCTAAGCCCTGAAAGAAAAAAAATAACTATCTACAGTTTATATGAAAAATGTGTTGATATCTATTTTAATAAATTATACAAAGAAATCACTCGAGAAAATTGTAAATACCGCACTGATTATGATAGAATTTACAGATCTTTTACAAAAAGGCATGAGCAGCTTGCTTTTTTAGAGTTGTTTTCAAATCTGGACATTGAGTTGCCATTTGAGTTGGTTCCACGAACGAATCAGGCCCGCTTAATAGCCAAGGTGAACAAGGGCGAAGAAAAGACCGGTCTGATAGTAAGCGCCACCGACGGCAAGTCATCGCGATTCGTGCATCGCACATACGCTGAGTTCTTCGCAGCTCGCCGTTTGGCAAATGAGGTATACCCAGACGATAAAAAGAAAAAAAAGAAAAACGACGACCAGCTGTCACCTCATTCGCCAATTAAGTTTTTATATAAAATTATGTGCAGTGGGACCATTTCTCACTTATTTCTCGCTTTCTTTAACTATCACATCATAGATAGAATGTTAAAAGAAAAACAGAAGAGAAAGTCAAACACAACTACAGCTGATACTGTCTTTACCGCTGAAAGTGCAAATATACTGAAAGCTGCAATCGAAGGAGATGTAAATATTTTAGATAGTGAAAAATGTGTGAACCTGCGAGACGCATTCGGTCGAACTCCGATTTATCTAGCAATGTCTAGTTGTTCAACCGAAGATTGCAAATTATTGGTTGAAAAACATCTAAGAAATTTCTCTTCCATTTTGACAAAAGATGGATTGTTTCAGTGGACTGCTTTACATTATTTTATGCTATTTAGTCACAATAATCTTTCAGACATATTTTCTATTAGCGAAATTAATTTTGACAATGAAGATGACTTTAAAGATAGGGATGGACAAACACCTCTAATGTTAGCATTAGGTAAAAATGATATTGACGTGAGTGCTTTAAAGTTTGTTATAAACTTTTTCAGACGTATAGTGAACACTAAAGATAATTTCGGGAAAACAGCAGCGCACAAAGTCATAGCCAATATTGATAAATATCGGGCTAACAGCATGGCTCTTACTCTTTTGATAAGTAAAGCTAATTTTTATTTGTCTGACAATGAGGGTAAAACGCCTCTAGATATTTTGTTTACGAAAAAAGTGAATTCAGTGAATATTGCAGCAATAAAACGTATGATACTGTTCTTGTTTAAGGGAAACAAAAGTAAAATAATTCAAACCTTTTTTACAAAATGTATACAATGTGAGAACTGGTGTGTCTTTCTGTTAACATTAAATCCAGAAGTCTCAGAAGCTATGCTGAATCTAATGGAAGCTAATGGGTTAACTGTTAATTTGCGTGATTCTGAAGCAAAATCGGCTTTGCATCGTTCGATGGAACAATTTCGTTCATTTTCTATTAAAAATTATTGTTTTTTACTACAAAAAGGAGCAGATGTACGAGCATTAGACAAGTATGGGAAACACCCCTCTGATTATTGGACCGATTCTATTTTCGAAAAGATTCGTGAGCATACAGAAGATCATTTTAAAAAGAAAACATTAGAAAATAAATTTTTATATGGATATTACAAACTTTTAGAAATGAAAAATGAATTTATCAATAATAATAATAATAATATACACGATTAGTAATCATTCACCTATTCTCGTTTTTCACGTTAAAATAGACAGCGGAATTTTCCTTCCGTTACATGTCCGGTAACGTCTAGAACGGGAAATGAAAAACCGGCCAAGTGCGAGTCGGATTCACGCACAAAGGGTTTCGTATCATTATATCATCTATAACAACGGCAAAAAAATCATGTGTGTTGCATGGGAGCCCCACTTAAATATATTTTTATTGTTCTTAGAATTTGTTGTTATAACGGCAACAGCGGTTCATGAGATACAGCCTGGTGACAGACGGACGGACAGCAGAGTTTTAGTAATAGCGTCCGTTTTACCCTAAAGTACGGAACCTAAAAAAATTCTTTCGCCCGATCCACGTTGTCGCGGGCATACAACGTGCACCAGCCCAGCGGGATTTGTGGCTTTCTGCTGTCTACGTTATTTCTATACAATGATCAAAATTGTCCATGAATCAAACTCTTTTTGGGGATATCTTTTTGAAGATTTTCTTCCTAGTCATGTTTGGTTTCCCGTGAGACTTTGAAATGAAGACGCTTATGTAAATTAAAGAAAACGTTACAACTACATATTTAATTTAATTTTATAATTTATTATCATTGTATTTACCTAAATTATATTCGCTTAAAAATAATGATGCATAGACAGTTTTGATGTGTGTAAATCTATTCACGATGGACAGAACTAGTAAGTATAATTGATTGTGTTGATGTGAGGCCAATGGCGACTTATCAAACCGAGCCCAGCACTATATCCCCCTGGTTATGGGAATGGACGCCTAGCAATATAATAACAATAGCTACCGATCGAGCCGAGGTCCGACCCTCTGGGGCACCCCTAGCTTCTCGCAAGAGATGGTGCACGCACACCACATTAATGGTCGTTAACGCCTTCGAGATATCAACGACGACATAGTGTATGAACGAGCATCGCCTGCAAGAGCAAGTTATTGATCGGGCAGGACAAACAGTAAATTAGAGATTACTTCAAGCTGAGTTCATTGTACATTGAGCCCAGAAGGCCGAAGGAGGATCCCGGTTCAAATACCAAAGGCAATAGCAGAAGATCGCCAGATGAAACATACGAGACGGGTTTATTATGAAAGCAGAGGACTTCTTTACACCAGATTGTGAAGAAGATACACCAGATTACAAAGAAGTGGAAAGGCGCCTGCATTTCTTAATAGAAACTGGATCGAAACCACGACCTTCGAGCGAAGTAAGAAGAAAGAGTACGTAATCTCTTTTCCACCGAAAGGAAAAAGCTGGTACTTACCTCACATTCCACTCATCAGCCTGTTGAAACCCAAAAAGCCACCAAGATTAGTGCACGTGTTACTCTTTCGGGACCGGATTTATTATAACCACTAACGAGCGTAATATGGCAACATTGAGTTTCAATTTAATTGTTCATTTGACATAGATTTCATAACTTCCAATAATATGTACAGTAAAAACATCAAGCCAAATAAAGTTCATTTTATTGCCCCTCGGAAAAAAGGATGACTTTTTGAATGGAGTAAATAAATTGAAATTATTTTGTAGTGATATTGGTTTTCAGTCAAACCATAATGCGATTTATTTTAATGGACCCCTGACTTGTGGTAATAAGGCTCTGCTTTAGGCTATATAAAAAGTGGAAAAATGCTTTGATATAGAAGTATAGTACATAGATTTTTTATGTGTTAGGGAAGCAACAGTCTTTGCTGTTTCACGAATGGACAGGTCTGTCCGGGGAAGTACCTCACAGAAGACCAGCCTTAAATGGAAGTGTTACACTACTGCCTTTCCTCTAGTGAGTGAGGTAGCCAGGGCCTACTTTTTTAAAACGTGGCAACGCATCTGCAACCCTACGGGTGTTTTTTTGTCCATATGGGCGTTGTCCCAATGTGGGCGGCGCTTATCATTAAAATCAGGTGAAGCGCCAGCAGCTGCCATCAGCTAAGATAAAAAAAGTTTATGCATGGGTGTATAATAAATTGTACTATACTTGTTAAACGTTCAAAAAGTAGTCCTGTCTTAGTAGTTTGAAAGGAAATCGATTGACAAAATGTTGTTAAAGTATTGTTGTTTTATTTTGTAGCTCTCTCAAATTTATGATTATGGTAGTTATTATCTGAAAGATGTTTATTTTTGTAATTAGTCTAAACTTCTTGAAATATGTTTGGGTTGTCGAAGGGCACGTTTATAGTTTAGTTTTAATCCATACGATAATCGTTGTTTTTGATCCATTGTCTTTTCAATTCGTATAAATTGTGTGCATTGTTCGAGAGTATGTTTATAGTTTATCGTTATTGAAGTTATACTTCTTTTCGCGCGTTTGGAATAATTATGAGAAGAAAATTTTAACGATGCGCCGCACATCAACCCTCTAAAAGCGCCATGTTGCCTGGTAACCAATTTAATCTCGGCAACCAATAATAACTTTTCGACATTTACCAATAATTCCAAGTTATTTAAATAAATCTTTATCAATTGCACTTAATGTTTTTAAGCTAAAGAAGTATAATTTCTTACGTGCGTACATATAAGTACACACATATTTTTTTGTAATAATATTTATTTTTAATCCACTCGTTGTTTTCATTTTTACAATTATTCTAATTCTTTTAAATACTACAGTCTCCCTAATTATTATTATCAAACTGTACTAATTTGGGGTAATGGCACAGATTTTCAAAATGTATTTTTAGTTCAAAAGCGCTGTGTTATAGCTATGAGCAACATTTCATCAGACACATCATGCAATTAAGCCTTATTTTAAGACTTTAAACTTACTTCCTTTCCCATCCTTCATTTTCCCTATCTCTATATATTTGAGGTTGGTAAATTTGTAATGCAAAACAAGCAAATGTTTTTACAAGCTAAAGATGTGACAAAAATAAAATTATGGAACCAAGATAAATTAGTACTTGACATAGTTCCAAAAAGTAAACGCTTTCAACAAAATAGCTATGCACCTAGATACCTAAATACTAACCGTAATATTATAAGTTTAAAATTTAATTACGACAATGGCTGTTAGGGAAAACATTTTATTCCATAAAAATGAGATTAAATTATAGTGATTAAATATTGTTCTCTTTTTGTTAAAAATCGATGCAATCGTTAGTTAATATATATATATTGATAGAAAATGTAAAAAGGACGTTTTAGTTATTTGTAAAAGAAATAAATTAGAATTAATTGTATTGTAAAAATCTTTTGGACATTTGAATTCTGTTAAAAACAGCATTCAACTTAACGGTTAACTCGACATTGTGACGACACAAGGAACAAAATATTGTTTTCCCTATTTACTAGCAAATAAAGAATTTGATTTGATTCAATTAGTGTAGACTATTTGTCCAGCAGGAACGTATATTTTTGTAGACTACTAGCTGACCCGGCAAACGTTGTTTTGCCATATAAATTATTTGTAGAGTAGAAAAAAATGTTTGAGGTGGACCACCCTTAACATTTTGGGGAATGAAAAATAGATGTTGTCCGATTCTCCACCCTGGCCGATATGCACACAAAATTTGACGAAAATCGGTTGAGCCGTTTCGGAGGAGTTCAATTACAAACACCGTGACACGAGAATTTTATATATTAGATTTATTATGTAACAAACGTTTGGTATAAAAATCGACCACCAAAATTATACACAGTAACATAGTAGTTAAGCACTAAACAGTTCGCAAAATAATTTGTACATTTACAGTGCGTTTCTTTTACTATTCCATCGCTTGATTAACAGCGTTTTAGCATGCTAATAACCTATTCTTTCCGCCATTCCATCGTCAAGTGATAGACCTGAAGGTAAGTGGTCTGTTATTATAAACTAAAATATTAATTTATCTATTATTATAATTACAAGAATTGCTTTTCACGGTTAAAAATTCATTACAAAGTCCTAGAGTGTTATTTTAACATAGTGATAAATTTGCAAAACTACCTCTCAGTGCCGTTCCAATGCATGTTTAGGCGGTAAAATTTTTTTTTTCTGGGCCGTAACGAATGAAAGTCTTTTGAGATGCGCCACTCTGTCACCTTAAGAAATGAAGGCCGTGAAATTGAAACGGAGTGAAATGAGACTTTAATGAAGAAAACCAACATCGCCCTGTTAAACAAATGTCGCTTAACCATTTGATTTTTATTAAAAAAAAGTATTGAATGCATTTCGAAGAGGATTCCGAAAAAAGCGTTATGAAATTAGCCAGAGAACTTTTCAAATGAGTTCGGGACTGCACGAATCGTGCGAATAAATATGTGAGTTTATGTAAACACTGTAGAATAAAAAATGTACGGTATCTTTTATTTCCTTTTGATATTTTCTTTTGAATAGTTACGACCTTTTTGTAAGAACGCTT